AAAATTCACTCCTATTCCATAAAAACTCACAACTAGATGCCAAACCATATCACAAGTGCTAAAAACCTACAACAATCTTCAGATCATACTCAGTGGACCATTTATAACTCGTGTAACACACCATATCTATTCCAATACACATATATCATAAATTCACCGCTCAAGCCCTTGATTCACAAAAACATAAGGGAGAGATAACTTTGCATAAAATCTCAAGTATTCATCCCATGACAACTAAATACATCATATCTTACTTGCACTAGTATTTCGACTCTATTTAAGCTCTACAATTACATATCAATAGCTCAGGGCATAAAATAGACTAAACATTTTCTCAACCATAATGCAAGTAGTCAAAATAATAGAATGAAATCTTAGTTGGCAAATTAACAATGTTTAATACACATAATTAAAACTAGGAGGCCAACGAATAGGATTTATTTAGAATCCTATGCCTTTTATTGTTCTCCCCTATCTTGATCTAATGAATAGACCTTAAAATATTAAAAAATGAGGGGTGAGTATAACCACTCAATAACCAAGGTCAACCTGGCCTATATAGTTGTAAATAAATTAAATTTAGACACAAATGGCAACACACAATCATTATATACATAAATATCAAACATAGCCTCAGTCACAAAAATAACAACCATGTGATTAGGCATAAAATGCGTATCATTAGAAATATCTCAATTATGTACATCAATAACAACTATGTACCCCTAAAAGACACGTTAAACCACAATAATAACAACTATGTGGTCGAAACTATAAATGCATGATCAATGTTAGCCTCATATCCTCCTATTATCTCCAACATGAAACCCGCGACTATCTAATACCGACGACCGTAATTCAAATTAAGTAACCTTTCACTTGTGAAGAGCTACCAAGTCAGGATTAATTCACTCACTTATGTATCATAGTTTCTTCCAATACTAACAACCATGGAATATCGTACCCCTAACCCAGCCTCCTTATAAATTACTTGGAGACTAGTTAGGTTCTAGTCCCTTGAAAAACAAGTGAGACAATGGCTATCTCTTAATTCTAACAGTCAGTACTAGAGCAAGCTTTTGATTTCAACGTAAGCCATAATTACCATATGGATTTACTAATACACTCCTCTTTCTAGGCGAAACTCATGCCAATAATCATACTATGCAATAATAACAATTTGTATGCTATGCAGAGCACACTAATCACATGATAACATGTTCACATAATCCTCTTTCTCCATTATACTCCACATACCAACATCACATAATAGCATACGCTCAATCATCATCATTAATCACACATGTATAAATATATATATTGCTTTCAACAATTCAATACAACTTCAAATAGTGCTAAATATGCATCAATGAGTATTTAAAACACCAAGCAAGTTCTAAATTATTAAATTCAAAAAATAACTAATTAATAAACAACTATACAAACTAAATTATTTTTCAATTATCTTAAATTTTTGAGAGGTCAAAGGTTTACCCCTCAAAATATAACTTTCAAAGCTTATTAATTAGCTTGAATGGTGCCAAAATTTAGATAAATCTACAACCAATCACAAACACATTCATTAATATCCCTTTTTGAGTAATTTACCAACATTCTAACTTGATATTCTCTCTTAATCAAAATCAAAATTTACTCTTAATCATACCCAGTAGGTTTACTGAGTTTCACTAACCTACATTGTCATAAATGAACCATTAAACTATTATTAATGGTCATAAAACACACCAACAACCATATTTATTGTCATTTTTCAATCTATATAAGCTATGAGTCCAAACTCATTGGCTAAAATGGATATAATAGGAGTTATTTAGAGTATTTAAACCCCACATTAATTGTTTTGTAAGTTGTTAGTTGTTGGGAACCATTGATACTTGAAAATGATTACTGAGTAGTTAGACTCACCCTTTTCTTTCAATAATTTATAGGCTCTAGCTCTGATGTGGAAAGAGAAAAGGCTCCAAAGGCTTAGGAGTTTGGGACTCCTACCTTAAATGTAGCATGGCTTATAATTGTTCCATGACCTTCAAGGAAGCAAGCCCTAACAAACGTTTTTGCTCTCTCTTTGTCTTCTAATACTCCCTCTTTTAGTTTTTCAAGCAAACAGTGATTGACTTATGCAAGATTTTAGCCATAAGTGAATGGCACAAAGAGGCTAGACTTGCATTGCTTGCCTCTGTACACCATGACGGATGTCCCTCACGTCATAGCATGTGGCATATAGGAACCTTCTTTAGTTCTTTCTCATCTTTTGTTGCCCAAATAGCTCGACTCTATTTTAGACTCACATTTACGACTGAAATCACAATCAAACACACTTTTTAAATCTCTCTAGCCACACACCACATTAATAAACTTAATTACCTTAATTTAGCTTAATTAATAGGGTTTAAGTTTTTAGGATGTTACAACACATCACATAATTTATTTAATTAACCCTATTTAATACAACTAATTTAGGTTAAATTTGCTAAGAAATTACAATAAATGCTCTTGAAATTTTGAGAAATGGCATTTGGACCCTTGTTCACTATAGTTTTCAAAATTGAGTGTTATCCATGCTTCCAAATGATTTTGAAACTTTGATATGAGTATGTTTAAACCTTAACATGTTTTGATGTGCTTGTCATCTTAAGGTCCCAATGACTAGGTTACTTATACTTTGTTTTCATGGGTTTAATCTTTTATAATATTCTAATAGCTATTAAATAGTTTTAAATCCTTTCTACCATGGCAGAGTCTATTTTATCATAGTCGAATCTATTTACTATTATTTAATTTAAGCTACAAAATTATTTGTTTAATTCTTATAACCATAGTAGACTTTTAATATAGGTCCTTTTCTTTTATATTATGGGTAGCTCTTTTGATTGCATTTAAACTCTTTTTACCATGGTGAGATGATCAAGATAGTTAGTAGTGACTCCCTAATTACCATGATAATGTTTGGTTATATGATTAAGATAGTGGAGTAATTTAAGCGATATTACAAGTATCATAATAAGTGCATTAGGAATTAAAAATAAAAAGCTTTTGTTGAAGTTTTTCTAGATCCAACCCTATCTTTCACCAAATTCTAGGAGTAGAAAAGCCCGAGGGTTCAAACCAAGATAGTCATTCTTTACTTGCTCTCCCACTGTCTTCTAAACCATGACCTCAATGCTTGCCGCCATCATCATTAAAATCATGAGTTGCTGTCTAGAACAATGTCAATGTCGCTGTAAAAAATTGCAAGGGAGAGAGAGAGAGGAGGGAAAGGGAGAGTATTTGGTGAGGATAATCTTGTCTTTTTTACCTCCTAATTAATGATATCAAAGGACTTCATTTGAAAATCTTTTCCAAGTCCATCTTAGCAATTAAATTTTTAGCTGTCTTTCTTAACAAATTTTCCAAAAAAAAAAAATCAATCAATTCATAATTTCATGTGGAAGGTCAAAATTAAAAAATCATAATTTTTTTTGTTAAGATTCAATTTTTTCCTTGTACTTATTTTCTTAGAAGCACTGGGCACACTATATACTTAAGTGGGGTAATTTTTTTAAAAAATATTTTTTCAAGGTCTAAAAACACCCTTCTATTTGAAGACCATTAACTTTGTCATTTTCTACTGACGTGACATGTGTTTGAAACTCAGACACAATGACAGGTACTTTAACTATGTCCTTTAATGTTAATTGCCTTTAAACTCTTTTTTAACAACTCTGGGCACCCTAAAATTTTTTCAAGAATATTGAATATTTTGAAGTCTTGTTAAAATAAAATTTAATAAATATTATCAAAATATAAATATTTTCATATTTAATAATTTAAATATTTTTATTTATAAATATTCATTCAAAATTTATAAATTATTTTTAAAATATTAACAACTCAAATTAGTATTTTATAAATTGATAGGTAATTTCTTTTTTCTTATATATCTATCTTCAATCTACTCTCCAAGATAGGGTCAATATCGTTATGTTTTTTATGTGTGTTAAAACTTACTTATATTTTTAATATTGGTTAGGTTCCTTAAATTTTTAGGTCATTTTTTATAATTTTTTTGGTCAACTAACAATCTTCTTTCAAAATATTACACTACTTAAATTTAATACTCTTCATATGTTGCAGTATTAGGAGTAAAACAAAAAATATGACAAAGAGGACTAACAATATGTCAATAAAAATATCTATTTAAAAGATATCACTTATTTTATTAATGTGCTTCAAAAAAGTTACTTAATAAGAGAAAAATGAAAAGTTGAGAAGAATTTTTTTTTTAATTTGAAGATTCATTCCCTTCATTTTTTATACAAAATTACAAAATATTAAAAATATTAAATATTAAATTAGGTGGTGTAATATTTTAAATAATAATATTTAAATTATTAAATGTTAAAATAATTAATATTTTAACAATATTTATTAAATTTATTTCAATAAAATTTCAAGGAGGCTAACACTCTTAAAAAAAGACTTTAGGATGTTCAATGCTTCTAGAATAAGAGTTTAGGTACACATTAGTATCAAAGAATATATGTGGGCCCAACGCACATGCTATGTTAATAGAAAATAAAAAAAATTAACTATTAACTAATAGAAAGAATTTTTGTTCTTTGAAAAAATAGTTCAAATGTAAAATTACTTCACTTAAAAATATAAGGTGCCCAACCTTTTTTAAAAAATAAATACAGAGATAAAATTGAATTTTAACTCTTTCTTTTTGGAGAATTATCATAAGGTTCCACATAAAAAAATTAATTATTATAAGGTCTATTGATAATTGAACTAAATTATATTGACTATTTAAAAAAATTAATTACTATAAAATTTATTAATAATTAAATTAAACTATATTATAATTAATATAATTTAATTCAATATCAATAAATTTTATAGTAATTAATTTTTTTGCGAAAGATTTAATTGTAATTCTCCCTTTTTTTTATATATTAAATTAAATAAATGAGGTAAAACGTAAAAGAGGTGCCCGAAAAATGATAATCACGGGGGGCTCCAACGGCGGAAGATTTTGCACTGCATTTGGCATGATCTGAGCCGCCCCATGTCTATGCCGGAGCCGGAGTCAAGGCCCGCCAAAGTCCAGGGCGGGTCACCCTCTGCATCAGTACCTGATTCGTTGTTTGATTCCTATTGTTTTCGCGGCCAGCGAACACCAAGAACCCAGCGATTCAAACGAGAAGGAAAGCCCTGTTTGTCCATTCCGGAGACCAAACCGGGCCATGACAGCCGAGTTGGGACGAGTCAGCGTTCCAAATCAACTAGGCTTAGGGCTAAATCTAAGCCTCAACTCCAAACCCAACCCCAACCTACATTGAATGCTTTGCCACTATCAAGTACATGTTTTGGAACAATGAAAATATTGCCACGAGATTTCTTTCAAATTGATGCGTTAGACCTTGCCCCCCGTTTGCTGGGAAAGTTTATCCGCAGGGACGATGTTATTCTCCAGATTACTGAGGTAAATAAGATTCTCGTCATCGTTCTTTTTCCAATGCATCGTTCGATTGCAGTAGGACAGCGTCTATATTTGTGGACATCGTTCTTTTGCTTTCTTCAGCCCGACAAAATAACTCTGTGGTACAGCTCATTGCGACAAGTCTGGTTGCCCCCCATGCCATGCTCAATTGGTGCAATAAAGATCTGCGCTTTTTTTCAAATTGTTAGCGAGTTATTTTATGTCGATTGTATACTTTTTTTGGGGTAAACAACTCAAGTATATGGAGTATCTCTCAGTCAAGTTTTCCGAAGTATGAATGTAAAGCAGCGAATCACTCTTATTGAAGACCTCTAATTGTACAATAGTTGCTCTGAGATGTTAGGAAATCAGCAGTTACTTGAACCAAAGCTAACGTATCTTGAACTTCATTCGGTGCAGAGCCCTGCAGTTGTTTTGTCCTGTTTTTAAAAAAAAAATCTTGAATCTTCTTTTCTCTCATTTAGTTCCACATACCTCATCTAGAGAGGAAATGAAATCACTAAGCATTGCGTCTTTTTCCTTTTTTGTCTTTTCCTTGGCTCCATGCAATGGTTGTGCCTCATTACGTGCGTGTTGAGGGTGTGGGACAGTTTATTTGGTATTTAACGAGGAATTCATCTCAGATAGGTGGAAGCATACAGACAAAATGATTCAGCTTGTCATGGTCGATTTGGCATCACAGCAAGAACTGCCCCTGTTGTAAGAGGCTTCGTTTGCCCTCGTTTTACATGCATTTTCCCATCTTAATCTCTGCCTTCATTGAAGATTTGAGGATTCTGAGTAATTTATAGATTACTTTTTTTAATGGTTTGTTTCTAACTTGTAGTTTGGGCCGGGTGGACATGCGTATGTTTATCTTTGCTATGGTCTCCACATAATGCTGAATGTTGTTGCTGACAAGGAGGGAGCTGGGGCTGCTGTTTTGATTCGTTCTTGTGCCCCCGTTAGTGGTAAAGCTCTGTCATCACCTCTGGTTATATAACTCGTCGTATCATTTATTGAGTTTAGCCCATCTGTCATGCAGGCTAGCCTTTGATGAGAAGAAGTGATTCTTAGTCACTTACCTTAGGATAACACTCTTTATTTGTAAATATCTATCAACCTCATAATTGTGGGTGTGTGAGTAGCGTGGAGACTTCAACTCACAGATAATCAAAGAGATAATATGTTGCTAAATTTTCAGGATCACTATTGGGCTTCATAAAGTTGAAATATCATTAGCTTCTTTGTTACATCAACCTCTGATTCATGGTTCATTTTCCTTCAAATAACTGCCCTTGTTTATACTACTCATTGATGTATCTTCATTATGCTCGAGACTATGGCAGGATTGGATGTCATTCAGCAGCGCCGAGGTCAGAAAACTGAGAAACCTGTACTTCTTACTGGCCCTGGGAAGGTTAGTTTCTCATCTTTCATGTTGCCCCCGCTTATAATCAGTTTGAGATGCTTTGAGGAACCCAACTCTGTTAATAAATTGCTTACTGCTTACCCTTCTTCTCTAAGAAGTTCTTAGAACTCTGTCCATTATCCAAGAACGAGCAATCTCAAATGCACATTGTACATGCTATCTCACACGTTGTTTCAACGACGTAGCAATCATCAGTAAAATATTTTATATGCATCACAATCTGCTATTGCAAAATTGACTAAAATACTTATGATGACGGAGGTTCTAGCTGGACGGAAAGTTGGAAGGAGAAATATAAGGAAGAAAGTACAGAAACTACTATTCACTGTTTTAAGGTTCCTTCATCATATGATCCTCCTCTGGCCATGATTGTTACTGAGACATTTGGTGGGAGTTTATTTCTGTGACATGATCAAATCAGGATTGGTTTTGAAACTGACTTGTGTTACTGCTGTCCAAAATCTTAGGTTGGTCAGGCACTGGGTCTTTCAACAGAATGGTCCAACCATCCCCTTTATAGACCAGGTATGCTCATAGGTCTGAACTGAAACGTAAATTTGACAAATGGATAGAGCGATATCTCGAGGAAAACGGGTGACTTTGTGATGCAGGTGGTTTGGAAGTGTTAGATGGTCCAAAGCCAGAAAGCATGTTGGTAGGACCAAGGGTTGGCATTGAATACGCATCGCCAGAGCATGTGAGTGCTTTGTGGAGATTTGCCATCGCAGGCACCCCATGGATAAGTGCTCCCAAAAACACCCTCAGGCCTCCCTCATAAGCCATAACAATGATGTTTCCCCTTTTTGGTAAACTGCAACAATGTGATATTAGGAAGCAGGTTTTGTTCCTTAAATAGGAGCTTCCAATGACATTAATCTTTGAATTATGACTAATTAGTAATTAGTACGTTTTATTGGTGTTACAGTCTAAATGTCAACCTAAGCGCGTGCGATACAGTTGGGGGCAAATATACAACTGAATCTACTTCTTTAAATTTGAATTACAAGAAATTTTTTATTTATTATTGTGATCGGTGCGGCAAAGTTAATAAAGACGTTAAAAAATTTATTTACGCGTAAGTTTAGTTATAAAATTGATGAAAAAGTTAACTGAAAATGATTCCATAAGCAGAAGAGATTAAGTCAGGGATTAAAAGGGAAGATTATATTTTTCTGAATTTAAAAGTTGCTGTATATTTTTAATCTGTGTATTGAAATATTAAACCATAGTTAAAAGAAATGAAGGAGTTTGAAAACTTTCTCAGAGCAAAGAAAGTCAGAATCATAACCCAGATATCCAGATTGAAAATTGAAATACAGTGAATGGCTTAGTATAACTTGCTTTTTTGTTTTATTTTTTGACCAAATAGTATAACTTACTCTTTAAACACGTCACAAAGATTACTCTGCTAACAGCCTATTTCTCACATGCGGCCAACAATTAAAAAGACCGAAGGGCAAGGAATTCCACTCTACAATTCCCTGTCTCAGCTTACATCGATGCAAATTACATTTTCTGTCAATATATTCAGAAACATTTATGAAGCACTTTGAATTGCAACGGTATTCTTGTTTTCTTCAGAGAAGAACTGGTCATTTTCCCCGCAAATAGGATCCTATAGCAAGGCGTAACTTCGATTCTTCACCACACTCCACACATGGCTCTCTTTTTAAATCACCCGGGCAAAACCCTAGCACTTAAGATCAGGGAGAAGCTATTATTACCGTGAAAAGATAGAAGGTAATGCCAAGACTACATTTTTTCTCATTCTTTTCATCAAGCCAGTGCTACTAAAACTATGTTACAGATGTACAATCACTGAATTGCCTAGCATGCAAAACCCGCTGGAAATGCCAAATAAATCATAAAATATCAGATACTAGTGTGCATACTGCTGCCCGCCTCTCACACCAAATCGGACTATTAATACATTCACATTCATTGCAAGCTACCACGCAAACACCAGAAAGGAGTGAAAACCATCTGCAGGAAGAGAGAGTGAGTCAGATCCCACAATTAAATATTTTTGATGGATATAGTATATTAGAAAGGAAAAGAATCCACCATACCAATAATCCATTCCTGGACAATGAAACATTTGGTAAGTACTGATACAGTTGCTCCGTCAATCACAATGGAGGCTAGCATGTGGCAAAGCATATATTTATGGCTCGTCTTCTCAGAAACAATGTTTTGAACTGAACCTCCTGGTGTTCATAGACCTATATGCTTGGACGCAACCGCCCATAAAATTCATTGAAGTCAAGACGGAAAAAGAGGAACTTAAGATCAACATGCTGCTGTACAGGCAACTGAGAAACAAATTCCTCTTGAAATGATGAATACTCCTCAGCAATCACATTCAGATTTTGTTCCATACTTTGAAGAAATTCACCAGCACGTTGAGTTAGGGCTTTCCTGCCATCAGCAATCCAGGAATCATGATCCACAGTCCTGTTTATTTTCTTTCGTGATTTTTTCTGGTCAAGAAAGGAGGATTCCATGATCCTGAATCAAAGACGTGGTCAAATATACCAAAGATAGAGGCATGTGTAAAACTAGGAAAATCTTGTTTAAAGTCAGAAAAAATTATAATGGAGATGATACCGAAGGTCTTATACCTTGATTGCAACTCATTGATTCCTTCATACAACCGATCTGCATGACTCCGGAATCTTAATATAAGGTCAAACACTGTAAACAGAGACTTGTAAATGGACTGAGAACGCTCTCCAAGGAGAGATTTCTCTACAATTGAATGTAGATATTTCTCATGTGCTGCAAGTAGGTCATCAAGATCCTTGGCTGCTTCCATCTCATTTAGAAAATTTGACCATGATACCTCCAAGACTTCAAACATTATATAATATTGCAAGTTTGAAACAAAGTGATTCATTTCAACCCAAAGAACTTGGCAGCGCCTCAATGTTGAAACTAATTGCAATTTTACAGTATTTTGCAGCTTGGTAAAAGAATGAGAAGTAATACAATTGGGTTTCATGGTCTTCCACGCACCAATAAGTGCATGTTCCACTCTTCTAAGCTTCCAGAGAAAATTAAAAATTCTCAAGTACCTTGACATCACAGATTCTGTAAATACAGTATCTAGCGGAACTCTTGCATCATATTCGAGTGAAAATACATCCCAGCCCCTATCACCACTTTCATGTGGCATAATTTTGACCCTCAACCTATCCAATATGTCAGGGTCATCATATTGAGCATTGGATGATCGAATTGCAGTTTCCAGCAATCCCGCAAGTTTAAAAGAGCTTATAGTGTTAGCAGGTTCAGAAAGGTCAGGCCCAACAATATCCATCAGATATTGAACAAAATCACCTTGACCAAGCAGTAAGTACCTCTTAATTGCAAGACAGTGTTCTTTAAATTTGTACCTCTTGTATATTACATCCAACAAATGTTTATCGATTCTTTTTGCTGCTTCGTCAACCAAGGATTCAAGAGCATCAGTTTCACCATAGCCAAAACCACCTCTTCTTGCTGTAGCCCCTGTGGCAGGGGCAGCTTCTGTTGCAGCTTTAGACCAACCACTATCATCACAACAAACACGAAGAAAATTTATGGACTTGCCTGTCCTCAAGATACGCTGAGCAAGAGAAGGTGAAATGAATGAAGGAAGCATGGCCGCATGGAGCCTGTAACCTTCTCTCCATAGAGATTCTGCTTTCACTGGCTGGCTAACAATAAAGAATTCAGTGAATAAATCTTCTAATTCCCCTTCTAGAACCCACCGCTTCACCATTTCATAAAGTGGAGAGCACACTCGTTGCAGTAATCTCCCCATGAATTCATGAACTAGCGGATCGCCATGTTGGGCGTGCAAATGAATCATGCCAGTCATCGCACCACCCCTTAAAACCCTACATTTATCAACCAAATCAGCCATTAACCTCATTTTCACCATTGGCTCTGCAAGCCAAACAACTAGCCTCCTTAATGAAAGATAATTTGATGAGCTAGCTGAGTCTGATACCAATGGAATGGGATTTGAAGACTGTACTTCAAGCACTGCCAGCAACTTATAGTACTCAGCAAGCTCGTCTTGCAATGCGGCACAAAATGCCTGCCCCACAGTACCTACATCGTCAGCTGTAAGTCGATCTGTAATCTGCAAGATGTACCCTGTAACCTTTTTAAACAACTTCCCCAGTTCACAGAGTTTGTGCACCATGGCCCTAGTGGCTCTAGGGACCTTAATCAACTGTGACAAAACATAGCCATCTAGGTTATTATCAAACTTCACATACTTCCCGTCAACTCCTTGACATGCATATAAAACATCCCTAACCAAGACCTCTTCGGACACCTCATTTTCTTCCTTAACGAAATTTACATACTCCCGGAAAGCAATGTCACGACGATTATCTGCATCCTTGGTAACCAACAGAACCCCGTTATTCCATCCCTTATCCTGAGCAGCATGGCTATGCAAAATCCTTGAATCCTTACCCGACTCACCTTCAGTTAATACCAAATTGGGCAACAAAACCGAAGTATCTAATTGGGTTTTCAAGTTCTTCCGATCTTCGGATATAATTTTGAGTAAATAAATTACCGCCCATTTGTTATTGACACCGGATTTTGAAGCAAATTTGGAGTAAAGGTCAGCAAAAGTAAGGGCTTCAGCGGATCTACCTTGAGTGGCGAGGCGGCGCTTGACGGACTCCGCGATGGCGGCAGCGTCTGGAGCAACGGAGGGCATCAATCTGCTGGAGAGGATGCGAAATGCATAACGAAGAGACTTTTGAAACTCGTGGGAGTTAGGGATTGCGTTTCTTGAATCGGATGTTTGATTCTGGGACAGCAATCGAAGTACCAACTCCCTGACCAGATCTGCAACCTTTTGCTGGTCTTCTTCATCCATTGTATATTGAGTGAATTGAAAAAGCCCCTCGCAGAATTGTGGACTCTCACACTGAAGCGAGTGCTCTTCTTTTTATTTTCTCCGTGGGCGCGGAAATGAGGGTTTTAACTTTTATGCATAAAAAAGCATTAATAGGATCATCTCTAACCAAACAAACGTAATAATGGGTCGCTGATGATTATTGTTCATCCCATGGCAATTCCGATCGAGTTGATTCCATCTTTATAAAAAAAAAAATACAGAATCAAATGAAGATTAATTATTTATTCAATAAAGCAAGCATGTCTATTCGATTAAAATAAAACAGTACCCGAAAAATAAATAGAAAAATAAATAAACCTTTCTACCCCAGCTTTGGCTTTTTTGGAAAATTTTCTACCCCAGTTTTGGCTTTTTTGGAAAATTTACGGCATGAATATTTATTGCTAAATATTCATTTTTTTGAAATTAAGTTATTGGTTAATATTACTACTTGATAACATTGTAAAACATCATTTAAAACAACTGGTAAACGTACAGATTTGGATTATCTTCATATTTTCTCTCAATCCATCTCTTCATATCCAATCTCAACTATTCATTTAATTATTATTTTGATTTAATAACATGAGATAGCTAATTATCGCATCAAAATAAATAAATTATTTACTATTATCACTTAAATGCTTTTAAAGTTAAGACCATAATGCTTATCAATGTTAACCATTAAATAAATATTGTATTTATTTTCTTGCTATAATTAGCAATTTCACACCATTAAACTAAAACAATGATTAAATGAATGGGTGAGATTGGATGTGAAGAAATATATTGAGAAAAAATATGAAAAGCATCTCAATCTGTAAAGGTGTTCACCACTCATGAGATGTGCACAATGTTCCAAAAAATTTAATTTAATACTCATATCTAATGTCAAATCTATATTCCATCCTATAATGCTATTTATACTAAAATGTATTTTTAATTTTTTAACTTTGCATGAAATTTTATTTTAATCATTTAATTTTATAAAGTGTCTTTTTAATCCATAACCCTAACATCATTGCAAGAAATTCTTTCATTAAAATTTTCAAATAATCATAAAATATAATATTTTCAAATATTGATATGTTAAATTTATTTTTTAAAATAACAGTTATTAGCATAAAAAATAATAATTTAAAATTAATAATATTATTGTTAGATGACTGAATTTTTTTAATAAAATTAAGCAATTAAATTGAAATTTTACATAAAATTAGATGATCAAAAGTAGGCATTAAGTTGCTATTTAATATTTATAAGTAACTTCTAATATGTTTTATTGAAACTAAAAAAATCAAACCTCATTAACTCTATCTAGAAACTAAACAAATTTGTAAATTTATCTCTATTAAATATATATATATTTTAAAAATATAGTACTTTAATATTTAATAAGAATAAAAAGATAAAGATAAAGTTAAAAATTATAAAAATATATTATAAATAAGATCAAAATAAATAATATAATAATATCAATGTTATTGTGCATTACATACAAGCACACTAAGTGACAAAGCTTAGAACTTGGTCTCATGAATAATTAAAATTTAGTCTAACAACGATTTAGCTCCCCAATTAAGTCGAAAATCCCAAGTCCTTCCTTCGAGAGGCCTATTTTATTCAATGAAAATTATGAAATTTACTCCTCTTGAAAATCAGCACTCCCCTAACTGTGTAACTCATTTGAGTTGAATGAATCACTATTGTCCAAAAAAAAAAAAAAAAGAATTCAGCTCTCCCTTTCGTACCCAACAAACAAGCTTTAGAGGTTTTTTTTTTTTAAAAAAAAATACAAACTGGAAGCTTAGAGTTTAAAACAATGGGATGTAGATACAATAGGCTTGAAATTTATCTGTGTTATAAAAACAAATTTATGATAAACAATGTTATTCATAATTTATCAACAATAAATTTTATTCTCAAATAGCTTGCGCACAAAAAATTGATTATATAAATAAAATTCATAGAAATGGTTCATAAATCCTAAATATGGTAGCTTAATTATTCTCTAATTCTACGCAATGCTGGGAAATCAGTTAAAAAATTACATCATGATAATTAAGCAGAAACAGAGGCAAATAGCAAGGTTGAATTAGGAATTCTCATGGACGGATCCCGCCTCATGAAGTCACCCTGTGGGGATGGGAACCGTCCGATTAGAGCAACAAAAGCAGATGCATTAAAATTTTAAAGTAGAAATAAGCGAAGGACGTGCAATGTCCGAGGGAAGAAGAAAGCCGTATTCTAGTTTTAGCGGTTAGACTCTGCTTCAACGAACCGACTTTCCAGGAAAATTGAAAAAATAACCCTTCCCAAAACAAACCTCATCGGAGGTTTGGCCTATTACTCCCTCTGCGATCCAGGTCCTCATCTCTCCTCCAACCTGGTCTCATTGAGCGTTTTCGGTTGATCAGGAACAGGTTTATGCAATCTTCTTCTTCTTTCTAGCTTAGATTTCCTCTTTTCTTTGGACAACCAGCTCTTGGATTTCATTTATGAGAAGGTTTTGATTCTATGATACTGTTTTCTTGTTTGGTTGGAATTTTGTCAATGGTTATGATTGCAAAAACACATTTTGAGTATCCAATTTCCACATTTACTTCTCTGATTTTATGGTCGGTTGGGAAGCCTTTTCGCCCGGGAATTTATATTTCATGATTATGGGAGAATAAAAGCAACGTCGTTAGTGGAATAAAAAGATTTAACATTATTGCAATCTTATCACAATCGTCCCCTCCCTCAATCCTTTCGTTCTCAGACACACGTTTTTCTCCAAGTTTACAACATGAGGGCTTACCTTATTTTGATCTGTCCAATTCGAACAATTCCAAAGACGAATTGAGAGCTTGGAAAATTGTTAATCTATTACTTTCAGGTTGTTCATTGATCATCGTTTACTCAGAATGGCTCTCTGAGACCCCTGCTTCGACTACTTTAAAGTAGGGCTGTGTAAAAGTCTCGTGGTCGCGTTCTGTCAGGTCCGACCCATGAAAATCTGGTCCTGTCCAGTCCTGTAAAATGTTGGTCCTATAGGACCAAAAAGACCAAAAAGATAGGACTTATTTTTTGGGGCAAGACCAGACTAGAGACCAAGCATTGGACTAAGTAGTCCGGTTTGGTCCTATATAATTATTTTAATATAATTAAAATTAATTTATAAATTATTAATTAATAAGCCTTAGAAAAAAAAAGTCTTAATCCTGCCTTGCACTTTGCACTTTGATCAAAAAAAAAACCTCAACACTGTTACTCAACAGCACTTAGCGTCTCAGCTACTCACTCAACTTTGCTCTCATTCTCAATTTCTTCAGTGCGCTAAAGCCCAAGCCCTTGTCTTGCACTTTGCACTCTGATCTTGATCTGTTCGAATTTTGAAGGAACATGTTTGTGGGCTAATTTTTATTACTTTTGTTCTTGCTGATTTTTTTCCTCTGATCTATTTTTGGTCTTTCCTCTAATTTTTTATTGAAGTTATGTATTTAAATCATTTGGAGTTTGGACTGTAACTAAAATATTATTTTCTTGATGTTAGAAATTATTATGGATTTATTATGATTATAAGTATTTTTATTATCTTAATTGAATTTGTTAAGTTGAAATAGATTATTGGTCATCATAGAGAAAAAAGAAAAAAAAAAAGCCAAGTGAGTATTGGACTAACAGGACCAGTCTCCCAGTCCTATGGACCAAATCCAGTCTTATTAATCTCCGAGTTTTCACAGGACCAGACCGGACTACGGGTTACCTAACCCAGTCCTTTTCATGAAAAGGACCAGACTCCGGGTTAGGTTAAAGTCCAGTCCTGTCCAGTCTTTTGTGCAGCCCTACTTTAAAGTATGATGTGCTGTGGAGGCACGGAGGAAGAGATCGTTGGCCCACCTTCAAACCAATCCGCTGCACCACCTGGAGGGGTCAATGCATATGGTGGCGGAGGAGGTATCATGCTCATGTTCTTCTATTTCTTATCTAGTGTTCTATTTTTTCCCCTAATTGGTTCGTGCGTCTAATGTTCAGACTCAGTTTTACATCATTCGCTCCTTGAGAGCACTGAATGTCTATATTTCATTAGGAAAAAGCATTATGCTTTAGCACAGTATATCTTATATCATAAACCTCTCAGAGAAATGCCTTTCCTCTTCCAGGTTATGACTACTAATTTAGAGTAACCATGTTTTAATATAGGAGGGGGGACACAGCCAAAGAGCAATGTTGTCAAGTCAGGCGGTCCACAGAAAGATTTATCGATTGAGGCGCCAGCTATTTCGCTGGAGGAGTTAAATAGCATCACTGGCAACTTTGGTTCCGATGCTTTGATTGGAGAAGGTTCCTATGGCCGGGTTTACTACGCCAAGTTGAGAAATGGCCAGGATGCAGCCATAAAAAAGCTGGATAACAATTCTTCTCCAGAATCTGACTCTGATTTTACAGCACAGGTGAGGCTCTCGTTCATTTGAGATTGTAAATCGATTGCAGCAATTTTTTTGGCACTCAAACGTTGTATTGTGACACTACGGATCATGCAGTTATCTATAGTTTCAAGACTACAGCACGACCATTTTTTGGAGTTGATGGGATACTGTCTCGAAGATCCCAACAGAATTTTGGTTTATCAATATGCAAGCAGGGGCTCTCTGCATGACGTTTTACATGGTAGGCTAGAGAGTGCGCAACTACAACTTTATTATTAGTTATTTCAAAAATTTAATTCTCTGTATTGATTAAATAGTGGAATCTGGCTGATGCAGGAAGGAAAGGAGTACAAGGGGCCGAACCTGGTCCAACACTAAGCTGGAACCAGAGAGTAAAAATTGCATTTGGCGCAGCAAAAGGCCTCGAGTTTCTTCATGAGAAGTGTCAACCGTCCATAGTTCATCGTGACGTGAGATCTAGCAATGTCTTGTTGTTTGATGACTTCGACTCCAAGATTGCCGATTTCAACTTGACAAACCAGAGTTCTGACACAGCAGCTCGGCTTCATTCAACTAGAGTCTTGGGAACTTTTGGCTATCATGCTCCAGAGTATGCCCCTATTTCTACCTTCTTCCCGATTGCCTATTTGCAGTGAAACAAGTAATCACAATCCAACAGACACCTAAAAGCAATAACGCATTTGTTTAGGTATGCCATGACTGGACAGATTACCCAGAAAAGCGATGTCTATAGTTTTGGAGTGGTGCTCTTGGAACTCTTGACAGGAAGAAAGCCAGTGGACCATACAATGCCCAAGGGACAACAAAGTCTTGTAACGTGGGTATGTCACGGTCAAACACTCAGTCTTGAGTGACCTGAGGCTCCCTATTTCAATTATCCACCTGCTAAAGTTTCTTACTGCCACAGGCAACTCCAAGGCTGAGTGAAGACAAAGTGAAACAATGTGTGGATCAGAAGCTAAACAATGAGTACCCGCCTAAGGCTGTTGCTAAGGTCCTCCCCTCTCCTAACAGTCAGCCTTCTTTTTCTCTTCAGAAAATTGAAACAAAGTACTTAATGAGATTCTTCATGGTTTTTGAGATGTGAATGTAGTTAGCGGCGGTTGCAGCGCTTTGTGTTCAATATGAAGCTGACTTCCGGCCAAACATGACGATAGTGGTCAAAGCTCTGCAGCCACTTCTCAATTCAAAGCCGGCTGGCCCTGAATCTGGCGCTTGACGTTCTCATCGTCAAAAGTATCAGTGTGATCAAATTTTGTGCAACCTGTAACTTAATAACCTCAGTTTTAATCATAGCTCTTTCATTGTTCTAGATGGTATTATTCATGATTCTCCCCTTGACTTCCACTTCATTATGGTTTTCAATGACTAAATAGTGAACTAATGATGGCTAAAATTACTTTTTTTTTCCCTCATCGGAAGACGAAAGCTCCGATCTTATGAACAAACTGCTAGCCCAAAAAAATGTTGCGAACAAATCGCCGTCTTCTTTTCCCAGGCCATGGGTCAAGTGGATGGATTTTTTTGTTTGGGTTTGGGACCGTATAGTTCTTTCGAGATTAAGAAACGTGAACCGGTATTTGCTTCAAGACTCGAGCGCTTGTGACAGCAGGCATTATATCTGGGAGTATTTATGGACTTTACGGCCTGATTTCTGTTTTCATTTTTTGGAAAAACTATTTTACAATTCATTTTTTTATAAAAAAAAGTTAAACATGTATAGTAAAATGATAAAAAATAAAAGTTATATAATAACAATATTTAAGAGAAGAAAGAATTGATTGTATTGATATGGAAACCATTTTAGAACTATAAAATTGATTGATGGTGATGACTGCTAGTGGTTAATGATGATAACTTCTAATAATAATTGATCAAAGTGGTTGTAGTTTTTAATAATCAAATTAAGAAATTTTTATACAAACCTGATGCATCACTTCATCCATGGTTCATCCAATAAAAATATGGCATTCAAATATCATTAAATATAAATTAATTTTGACATTAATAATAATAGAGAGAGAAAATAAAAAATTAAATAGACATTGTTTTATAAAAATAAAATCATTAAAAATAATGACATATAAAATTTTATTTAATTGAATTGGTACAATTTTATGAAATGAACTATAAATTACTAAGTCCATCTACTAAATATAATTGTTTTGGCCATGTTTTTTTTGTGCAGATGTGTCAAAGGAGCGGATCATCAAAAAATGTGATATATCTTACTTCTAAATCAAATGGTGAGTTACAAGTGCTTAAAAATATAAGGAATGGAGAAACTTGGAAGACTTGCATAATGAGAAGGGTCATGATGTTGATAATGGTAAAAAAGAAATTATAAGAAATAAAAGATGAAACACTAAAAGGAAAAGCATTGGCACTGTTATTGTTATTCCGCTAAGAGCTAGTGTTCTATTGGTTGTTGAAAAACTTCAATGCTTTTTGCTAAATGTGTGGCCATGCTAAGGGTGCTATGTTAAATATGTTGAAGGATAAAAAGAGTTTTATTAGGTGAAGTGAAAGATGACATCGGGTTAAGGTTTTTGTACTAGGTAAGTTAATTTTGGATTTAAGTTTGTTAAAGTGTTCAGAGAGATTTTGTAAAGATGCGTGTAGATCGAATGTGTTTGGTGGCCTTTCATTTATAGGTATAAAGTGACAATTTTTCTATGACTCGATGCGTGTTTAGAGCCATTAGTTATAGTTTTTTCAATAACATTCCTAACTCTTTATCATTACTGAATTTTGAAGGGGTGTCTCAGTTTATTTTCATAGTAAACAACCACTTTTCTTTTAAAAGATCATGTGGGCTTGGGCTAAAATTTTTAAAATGGCATGTCAGCTCATTTTTATAGTAAGCAACTATTTTTTTTTTTCAAAAAACTCATGTGAGCTTGGGTTAAAATTATTATTTTTAGCCCAAGTAGTTGGGTTTGGGGTCAAAATTAAATTTTAGCATCAACAGTAACATATTTTAAAAACAAAAAATAAAAATAATTTTAAAATGTTTTGAAAATAGTTTTGAGAATAATTAAATCTAAAACACTTATCCTAATAATTTTTTAATTTTTTTGTTTTAATATAGAAACCAAACAATCCCTACAATTTTGGGTCCTTTTATTTCGGAGATATTAGACCACAATTTTTTTTCAATTAACATTGACTTTGCATTTTAATAATTCTACATTCCTTAAGTCTCGATTTCAATTAATTTACATCCTCCTGTGTTTAGCTTTATGCCTATGCATATAGTATTCCTGTGTTATGAGAGAGCAAATTACTATTTGCACCTCTTCTTTTATATTTTTGTCTATATTTTTGGCTCTTGCTTCTCACTCTACTCCACAAATGTCAAGCGTGAGTTTGACTCGTTCCATCTCTTTTTCTCCGCCGGTTAGAAGATCGTGAACATCTTGATTGTTATGAATCAATGCTTAATTATTTGATCTTTATGATTAGGCACTAGATGATCTTTATTACGAATCATTAGATGAGGTATTAATTATTTTTTTCAATATCATTCCTATTTAAAATCATTAATTATTAAAAAATATAATATAAATTTATAAAAAATTCATTATCTTTTCGATGCATGAGATTAAAAACGAGTTACTTGTTAATTTTTTCCATTTTAAACAAATTTATGATCTAATTACTATTTATTGATTCCAAAGAGTTAATTAAAAGATACTTTATAAAAAATAGAAAAGAGTATACGATATAAAGTCATTAATGATCATATGACCCAGTGACGTGAAATTTGGCCTTGTCGATAACAAATTGCGGGTTGAACCTTGCACATTAAAACAATAGTAATTTTTTTCAAGCATTATCTTACCCTGCATATTAAAACAAATAACAATAGTCATTTATGCAATTCAAATAACTGTGATTATAATAAATAAATAAATTAAACTACGTCGACAAGATTTTCATCATCCAAGACTTGCCTCACCTGAGCTCTATTCACTTGTTCTCCAAAGCATATACTTTTTGACCACATTTTTAGGAAAACAAATAAATGTGTAGGTTAATTGATTCACCAAGCTTCTATTGATAATTTTAATATTTATTTTTTTAATATTGTGCCTTTTGATTATAGAAATCTTTTGTCTGCTAATATGATTTATCATATCAATTAGCATAGTTTATTTGTGGCCTTACATTAAAAAAAAAAAAGGACATGCTTTTTCTGCTACAACATTTCTTACATTTTAATATTAAGCTTATTCACAAAGATCTTTTCTTTTCAATTTTTAATTTTTTTTCATGGATTCTAAACTTTTATAATGATATAACTTGCTATTTGCTTTGCTTGAAACAAAAATAACCGTGGCTACAACAATACAATGTATAAACATTAATGGATTAATAAGCATTATAGACTTTAAAGTATAAAAAAAAATACCATGGACCCTAAACTCTTAAAATGTGCAAAATGAACTCTAAATTTTTAAATCTAGAGTAAATTACACCCTACCATTAACTTATAGATAACACCATTAACTATTAACTTTGTGAGGTCCAGTCAAATGCTAATGTGACAGTCTCTTGCTGACGTGTCATTAGTTAATGAGTAATACAGACCCTAAATTATTATGCAAGTAGCATCTTGGATCTTAAATTTTAAAATTAAAAACAAATTATCCCTACTATTTATGTGTGAAATGTTGATTGTTATGCAAACCAAAAGCTTCAACATGGTCTCCCACAGCAAACACATGGTTGGCTACAACAAACAATCTAGAATTTTGTGAAATAGTATCTCCTCCCTTTTTTTCAATGTTTTTGGAATGATTGTATCTCATGCTTTCATATAACTCTGATTTAATTTTATTTTAAATAATATTTATTTATTTAATGATGAAAACTTAGGATCCTATTTGAAAAGAAGTTTAAATATCAGAGGATTTTACAAACGATAGATGCGAAAATTGATAATTTCATCAATAAATTTCAAATTTAAATTAACCGGTTAATTAAAATCATCTTATACTTAAACTTCTTTTCAAATAGAATCACAAGTTTTCCCCATTAAATAAATAAATATTATTTAAAATAAGATTAAATCAAAATTATATAGTATACAAAAGCATAATATACCAATCATTTGAAAAATATTACAAAAAAGGGCAAAAAGGTAATTTTATGAAATTCTGGGTCATTCGCCACGGCCAACGATACATTTGCCACAGTGGACGATGCTGAGACTAATTTGATCTACATAAAAGTCAATGTTCTACACATAAACAATAAAGGTAGTTTACTCTGAATTTCAAAGTTTAAGATTCAAGATGCTACTCACTCAATAGGTTAAAGTCTATGGTGTTTAATCAATGACACATCAGTATTTGCCTAAACCCCACAAATCAATAGTTAATGGAATTATATACAAGTTAATGGTAGGGGTAATTTGCTCTAAATTTAAAAGTTTAGAGTCTATTTTATACATTTTAGGAGTTCTAGGTCTATAGTACTTTTTGCATAATGCCTTATGATTCAAAATGCTTATTGTAATATCCAACTTGACATTACTAGGACAACATTTTTACATATCGTTGTGATAATTGGGAATAGTTAAATTCCAAGAAAGAGTTATCACAACTCAAGGGTTTAAAAGATAACAAGTTAAAATAATGATATCTTAAGAAAACCCTTTTTAAAATAGTGTTTGAGCTCAAACCGTGGTTAAAATCAATTAAGTACAAATAGGGAAGCATGGAAAATCAAACCACTTCAAAACAAGCTAAAACAAACCATTCTTTTAAAAATCTGGCTTGTTCGCTGCAGCAACAATTTTCAGAGCGGATTGTTTTGCCATCTGAATTCGATTTGGACGATTCAAGTGTCCACGCAAAACTTTTCAAGCTTTCTAACTAATGACACTAGTCTTACATTCAAAAAATCATTCATTTAAAAGATGAAAACCTAAACTTAAAATTGTTTATTTCTACTTCAAAACACATTCAAAAGTGTCTAACTCATAATACCAAATGCCATTAGCTCTAAAGACACTTTGATCACCTCAAATGGACCACACACAACATGAGAATTTATTCATATCATGTAAATAAGCAATTACACTCAAAATAACTACTAAACCCTCATTCGACAATAACACAAAGGGGTGGATTGAATTTAGTACATATATCAACTTGGTCATTTTGGCATATAATTCACTTCAAATTCATCACTCGTAATTGTAACTTGGCACAACATAGACATATTATCCACCACATCAACCTTGAACTAAGATATACACACTTATCATAAATTCATACAAGTGATCTCCCAAAAAAATGTCATGTTTTTAAATTGGCATTATATATTAGCAATATTCATTGCAATATCTAAAAAAAAGAAGAGTTATACAA